GGTGTCGTAACTTTAAACAGGCCACGACAGAAGGGCTTGGTACTGTGCTATCGTGAGGCCCCTCCCGGGCGGGCTTCCCGTTTTTGACCTTACCCGCCCTCACCCGGACATCTTCCATGATCTTTGTTGTCTATTTAACAAAGCGTTCCCAACTGCGACAGTTGCACAGTGAAAGATGATGGATTACTATGAGGAAGGAAGCTGGCAGGACCTGTTTTAAGGCACCGGCTTTGAATTTGTCTGGAGGGACTCCGACAGAAACCGCTGGGCAGAATTACCGGTCTTCAAATCGAAATTTGAATCGAACATGAAGCAGGAGTTCTGACCGCTCCACCACAATATTGAGTAGTACTCTTTTAAAATAGGCCACGATCGTAAATTTCCAAAACCTTATCAACTTAATTCATCTTATCTTGCCCTCTGTAAGAAATGCGAAAATTTTTATCATCTTTTGCGAAATAACATTCAAGGACGCCGTGGTCATTGCCACTTGTTCGTGTTCATGCAGTCGCGTGGCCTCCATTAATCACGGTCTTCACCGGATAATTTGAAAATTAAATAGCGGCGAGAGGATTTGTTTCGTATTCCCCGTCGTTAGTAGGATTCAGCCCACATTTGCGCTGAGTTCGAGACGCGTTTGTACGATCAGACGCTGTCAGTGTTTGTCCACTGTTGTTCACAAGAATACGCCCAGACGTCGTTTTACTTTACACAGTTAAAACTGACATAAGGTATTAGAAAAGGCGTCATTCTCGAGGGAAAAGGTGAACAGAACTGAGGTCTCTGCGTTGAAAATAAGAATTGTGATAAGAGACCCACTGAAAACTGTGCTACTTTCAACATAGTCCTCGATGTATATGTTGGGCACAGGACTCTGAATCTATCGTTTCCTTTGGTTGATCTTTTGAGTGTTGACACAGTGCACAATTCTCGTCATTGCACTGAAAACGTGCCAGAGTCTGAATATTCTTCGCTGTCAGAAGTGCGTTTTATGTCTGTCCGGTTCTTGCTACGGCGCTCGTCGACACCGAGGATGGTGTTACGCCGTCCTCCCTGTTCACCAATTCTTCTTCTTTGAACCAACTTTGAGAAAGGATTGAGTCAGATGAGACTTTCAAGTTCGTAAAAAGCATTTCAGGTTTTAGCCTCAGGCTCGATGACTCCTTCTTCCTGATGCCAAAGTCTTGGTCTCGAAAAGCAGTGGCTGTGCCCAGTTTCCCGACGTTTCGGTCACTGCAGCTTTCCTTGGGGTAAACCTCAAAGACTTTGAAAAAGCAAGTAAATGGTGCGAATTCCATCGAGACAGTCTACGTTCTTTTGTTCGTACCAGATAGGGCATAACTGTATAATTTTAAACGTATAGGCCAGTGCTGTCTTGTTACAACGATTAACGGTACGGCATATGGAATGGAATATTTACTTCATGTCTAATATTATGCCTTGAACATTTAAAATGTATTACCCGGAGCAAAATATTCTGTTCTATAGGAGCTTTAGGAATACACAAAACTCTGAACGCACCTGCGGTCTCTAAGTCAGTCAGGGAGACGATAAAGTCGCCTGTGTCCGCCATATTTTCCCACCGTTCACGAAATTTTCCGGAGTGGCGTATTTTATGGTCAGTCAGATGGCACTAGTAGCATTCAAGCCACTTGTGTGGGCGTCGCGGATCAGTAAATAACACACGCTCGTGTGTTTTTTTTAAAAAAATTTCTTACATCGCAGTGTATCTACACTTCGCAGGAACAACTAATATGTCCGCAGTTGATAATTTTATGGCGTACGTTTTAATTATAAACCTGTTTAAATTTAAAGTTCGATCGAAGTTTGTAAACAAGCCTCGGGACGTTATTGCTATCTATAATGGAAGGCTCTCCAGACTGCAACCCGTCTTATGTATCATATTAGAAATTAGTTTGAGTTTTCGAAGTTCGCAACTTCAGTTTGAACGGGCGGCTAATTAGTGTGGCGCTGCCCGACGGCTCACTACACACGAGGCACCTCTCTCCCGCCTTCATATGATGTTATAGGACCTGAGGAACACGTAGACTTTGTTTTAGGTACATCGCATAACTTCTTTGTTTGTATGGGCGTGAAAGCTCGTCTCCCGCGTTGGGGGAAGAACGAAGATCGAAGGTGACCGAGAACAGGACAGAACTGGAGAACTTGTGGACTGTCAGTCTCTGAAACTCGTAATCTTACGGCCGTTTGGTCGTCTCCTGGTCAGTCGCAAGGTCTTTGCTCGTAAATGTCCGTGTCCGGAGTTGGATTCGAACTCGCGACTCCATTGTGAGCATATGCAGAGGTCAAGAGGTGTTCTGGCTCGGTGTCGCGTCCCTGGGGCAATCTCTTGTGAACACCGTCATGGGCGTTCAGGTGAAATTTCTTGGCAAGCCAAGAATCGACTGTTCAAGAAACATTTCCCTCCGTGAAGTTGCTTACTTGCGTTCTTGGTTGGCTGGTCGGTCAATCACTCAGTCACTCAGTAGGTTCTGAAGCCACTCGTGGGTGACTCAGTTCACGTTACGGGAGGCAAGAATTACATCGGATTAAGGCTTGGTAATGACGTCATCATATCTGATGATTTATAAAGAAGCTTGTTTTTAATGTCCTGCCTCTCATCGTGGCCTAGCCCCTATGGTAATTCGACCATAATCGCGTTTCGTTGGTCAGCTAATTTTTTTTATACTTCGTCGTCTAATTGGCTAGCTGATCTGAGTATAATTACGTTCCTCGATGTATGGAGATAATGAAGATATTACAGAATGTTCCGTAATTGGTTTAATTTCGAGTCCAGTGGCTTGCAAATAAAGTTAGTGTCGACGTAATTTATTCGAGTTGCGATGCCTTTCCGTTTTATAACGCATCGCAGAACTTGAAGTGGGTCGTATTCGGTAGCAGGTCCCAGCGAAGCCTCTTCGCGTCCTGTCGGGGCAAGGCAGAATCTGCCGTGCGAAGAAAGTTGCTGGCAAAAAAGTAATTAATACAAAGTTCATACATTCGTGAGGCGCTCGTAATTATGTCGTGTACTCAAGTGCTCCATATTGGATTCAAAGGCCCCGTAACGATAAAATTTGTTTTATCGAATTTTCCTAGCAGAAGTTAGAATCGTCGTAGTATAAAGCTAGAACATTAACAGATCTTTTCTCACAAAGTACAAAAAATGACGTTTCCTCTCGGAAACATTGTGTACCTACCCGAAGCTCGGTTCTGCCAGTTTGCTGATTCAAACGATCATTACGCAGCGCCAAGGCGGTAAATATTTAAGCGCTGATGACTGGGAATGTTTCTTCGGGACTTGAGTCAGTACGAAGTGCACTCAGCTTGAATCATTCCTATCACCTGCCACTTACATTACGTTTTTTTTTATATATTTTATTTAGTGTTCTGTCTGACGACAGGTCCATATGAACAGGATCCTTCCATCCTTTTCTCGGACTGGGACCTGTTCATATACGTTCTTGGCAGATGATCCAGAAGTGGTTTGCCATTGCCTTCTTCTGTGTGTGAATGGAGTAATTGTTGGGATGCCACGGAGGAAAACTCCGTGTTGCCTAGACCACGGCCTTGCCCAACACAAGTTATAAATCGAACCCGAGACCCCAGGATTACAAGGCCAGTTTTCTGGAAGTTTCGGCATGTTTTGGAAAAGTCGCCCGTCTGAATACGTCTTATGGCCCGAGGTCACGCAGTTGCTGATTTAGGCCCACATAACATCACGCTCCTGAGATCGGAAATGTGTCCGTTCGATTGCCCCTTCTTATCGTCTACTGAATCAAGTAACAGATTCTGACAAAACTCGGCACGCACATACACGTCAAGCCATCTCTTTCCTTGTCAGCTGCCAAATATCGATAACACGAACATGGCGGCCAGAAAAATTCCTGTACAACCCTGAAATTGTTGTGTGGTGATTCGATTTTAAAACTCGGTTCGAAACTTTTCGTAGAACGTGGATTATCTGCAGTCAGGGTAGATTTCGGCTTGGCGCTACGATCGTGAACGGATGTCAGATAATGGCGTAGGCGGGCAAAGCACGCACGAGGCTTCCTGACAGGCGTTCATTTATTGTTCATACTAGCTTTATTACGTACATTGTTTTGTTCGGGGAACTGGACGTCGTAAATTATTGCCACAATTTATTGAATCAATGGTAGACTAAACCTACCGGCTCACAACTGCAATTACATCTGAAAGGTTTGACGTCGTGCCATCTGCAGCCTTCTATAATTAGGGGAGAATGGGGCTAGTTGTAACTCGGGGAGGTTGTTTTTGTTTTAGTTTTAAAAATCGCTCACATTCACCAGCAAATATAATTGGAGCGTAGAAAATTGAAGCCTGCGACAAGGGAAACGTTTAAGCCTGCAGCTGAGGAAGTTCCTTCTGGATGAAGGTCGTTCGGGCAAGCCGCTCAAGTTCACGGAATTAATTTCACGACACTTTTCAGATCTGTGACGGGGCAGTTTGTAAGTTGTTAGAAACAAACAGCTGATACCCTTTCTTTCCAGACCGACCTCAGAGCCGGTCGACCGTTTGACACCTTAAGGACAGTTAAGAAAGTGACTTCAAGTAGGTTGCTTAGTAAAATAAGGCCGGGACTTGCGCGTTCCTCTCAAAGTAGCAACGACTAACACTTTGAATTTCATCCGTTTCTTCCTCAGTTTCTCTCCAGGCGAGTGCCTGCACAGTGAGCAACTGGAAGCGTGCCAAAATTTTCCGTGTCGTTCGCGTTCGTACGACCTCGGGAATTGAAAAAAATCTTCATTAACTCGGTCGGAATGAATGAACATGTAGCACCGCTGCTCTCTGACTTTCGATGACACTCGTAATGGCCGATGAAATGCCGTGCACGTGTTGGAATGTTCGTGGCTTGTGCCTTTCTGCTTTAAGAGTACGTTTTGCACCTGTCCAAATAAATCTGATGATAAAAACAGAAGAAAGCTTAACTCAGTCGTGTTCGTTTGTTTGGTGAAAGGCGGAATCGATTTACTGACGCGCGAGTGTTTTTTTTTTTTTTTTTTAATTCATACGTCATCCCAAAATTCTCCGAATGGATTTTAAAGGGTCTAATTTTTCTTGTAGAGAAAATTACTCAGATATGTTTATCGTTCGTAAATTTTGAAGGGCAAGTCAAATTTAAGTCAATTTACTATATCAGAGAGTTCTTACGAAGACAACATTCGCACTTTCAGCCCTTCTGAATTATTTTAATAGAATAAGTTTGATATAAAAATGCACTTACGCAATCTGTTTTTTTTACAAGTCTTACTGCCCTATGGGGGGGGGGGCGAAACGTGTTTCGAAACATCTGAGCCATAAAAATAACCAATGTTTCTCGATCTTGAAAGCTGATTACGCTTCACCGAAGAATGTGATAAATAACTGAAAGTTTTAAATCCGTCAATTGCATTCTAACAATTTAATGTACGGGGCATTACTTAAAGGCTTGGCACAAGCGTTAGGGCGAGTTAAAGACAGTTAAACACCAAATCAACTAAACTCTGAACATGACCCGGGACGCCTAGTTTCCCAGTTGCAGTTCTCTTTTCATTTCGAAAATGTACGACGCGGTTGCCTCCCTCCCCCTGTCGCTGCTTTTACAGGAAGCTCCTTCGTCGTCGGACAATTCAAATGCCAAAGGGCAACAGGAAAGAGCTTTGTAACCGGAAGGACGGCTTTTCCGTCTCATTCGCTCCTGCCGCTCCGGAGCGACTTCCGGGCGTGCGGAGGGACCAGCAACTACGACCCCGCTCACTCGACCTTAAGGTTTCGCAGTTTTTCAGTTCCTCATTGCTCGTGGTGGGTGATTAACTGTCATTTACGTTTGCCTCGCAGACGGTCATTTGTCTTCCGGGTGCCGTCACCGGAAACAGCAGAAACGATTCCAAGCAAACGAAGCAAGGGCAAAACTGCTATGTCTGCCTTCTGCACGTATCACCTCCGACATGATTAACGTTCGACGAAAGATGAAGATAGTTTCCGGCTGTTTTCTGTTCTTCAATGTTCAAGCACAGCTACGATAACAGTGCGTTTGGGGCTGATGGTTGCCCCAGGCCTCCCTCCTCCGCCGCCGAAGGTAAACAGACCACCCCCCCACACCGCACCTCAGAGCACGTCTCATCGGCTTGCTCACTGAAATGAAGGACCCCTCGTCGTCGCCGGTGGGCGTACGAAAGGCCCAAGTCTGGTTTGGTTTTGAAACTTGACAAACGCGTGTTTTTTCGCATGACCGAGGAATCACGTAACGCGTATCAAAATGTTCGCTCCTTCCGTATAAAGACACCGCCTGACGACTGAAGTAAATAAGTGTTTCAGATTATGAGCTGATACAATTAAAACAGCCTCACCCCTACATCTCTTCAGCGAGAAGAAATAGGAAGGGTCCAGCTTGTACGCCCAGGCAACTGCGAACTGCATCTCATCTGAACACGACACGTGCAGGCAGGTGTCGCTTGGGAAACCGGACGGAAACTGCGAACTGAGTCGCCACGTCAGTTTCCTTTCAGTTCACTGAGGAAAATGTGTCTTAATGATCAGAAATCTTGCTTCGTAGCCCCGATTATTCCAGACGAGATAAACTGATCTCGCGTCGCGCAGGAGATAAGGGAGAGATCGGGGTGAATCCAGTTTCTTATTCTTCTCCTCACCCACCCCTAGATAACCGATGGATAAACATTAGGCGGCATCGCGTATCGTGACAGGAAACTTGTAATTGCCACGCAGAACAATCGAGCAAGACACAAAATCGATTTCCCCAGTGTCCAAACATTCAAGAAGCAACTGGTTTTCTACTAAAAATGGCATTAGTTGAAGCTGAATTGCAGTTTCCAATTTCCTTGGTGCGCGCTCGGCGTCACAAGAAGGAGGACTGGTTCGAGACTTGACTGAAGCTTCTTATGCGTTTAGTCGGACCGACCACGCCTGGAGTTTTCTCCGCACCAACAGCACGAAATATCTGAGTGCAGTATCTATTTAGATAGGCCTACAAAACTTTGTGGGATGCGAATATAGGGTGTTCAGAAAGTTTCTCTATAGCAGAAAACCAAACATTTACTTACATTTATATTAAACAATTAAAAAGTATTGGAAATAAAGTTCTGTAATTTGTGATTACTTCTCAACACGTCTGATTTTATAAATCCGCGCTACCAACCTTGGCAAAAAAAACAACCACAACCGTGTTACCACTAACTGTGCATCCGTAATTCGAGCTTCACATTCCTCTGCGACACTTTTCATTTTACAAGAGAACTGGTCCATACAGTGGGGAAGCTGCCCTCAAATCCACTCGCAGTTCTATTTGGACTGAAGCACATTTGCAGAAGCAGGTTATTAGCTTTCACACTGACGTCGAAATCAGCAAGAACGAGGTTTGTTACAGACGAAAGAAACTTAGTTCGAAGTTTATTTTCTCAGCTCTTTATTTAATTCAGAAGTCAAGAGAAATGCCATTTGAAATGTATCAGGAAGTCGGCGTAAGTGTTTGTTGGTCGCGGTTATATGTTGCTCATCGAAAGTTTTTCAATAAACATTTCAGTGCACTGCAGTGGTTCAGACAAAGCCGTCTCAGAGTCAGCTCCATCGCATCCCGGCTGTGAAGTAAACTGAAGATAATTTTAACATAATTTGACGCGGCATAAACATCTTCTTACAGTACTTGAATGATGATTGTAAATGGACAGTTCCCAAAATAATCTCTCGTTTGAAAGTAAAGGTCTGATTTTTAACTGAATTTTCTTTAAGAGCACTTGTTTTCCCGGAGGAGCTTCCAGTACAATTTGAAGACAAAAACTTCGAACCTTTTTGCTACAAGCGTTATACTAGATTTTTGGACGACGAAATTTGTATCATCCGATTCGTGCTTGGAGGCCGCTCAAGAAGACAGTGCGCTATTGCGTTTCGTTTTTAAAAAGATTGGACGTGTGGACGCTTTAGAATTCCCAGAGGCGTTCGTCACGCCACATCTGGGGCGTTCATGTTACTTGGGCGACCATCACTGACACAAACATAAGCTCCTACCGCCTGTGCGTGGGTGACCGGCCTCGGGTGTACGAACCCACAAAGATTGTAACGAGGGGTTTCGAAAGCCCGGGTAAGGGGGTAGGCACCCTGGGGCAAGACGAGGTTTGCGAAACTGATTGTGTGTCAACTCCGATTTGGAGCGAACCCCTGACCTATCTCAGGGGTGGAGCACCGTGAGATGGAATTGCACCCATCAGTAGGCTGATGACACTTAATTAACCATGTCAAAAGGAGTATCTTTGAACGTATAACAAGCGCAAGCTAATTAAAAACATTGCATTGTCTCCAAATAAAAATTAGACGTGTACTTGGCCCCCTTTCACGCCGAGCGATCACACGTCCTTGTTGTCACTGAATTTGCTCACGCAAGGCAAACGCTGAAGGGAAGGGTTGGGATCTGTTTGTTTATTTTGTGTTCCAGGGGTGTGTATGTTTATGTAATGGGGTCGGTGTGAGGGATAGTCTGTTTTTAGAAACAGCTCCTAGACATGCTGTTGCTGGTAACCACCCCATCAAGACGAGCTCAGGACCGGACGTGTTGTCTGCTTCACACAAAAAGACTGCACTGCCCTGTGTTAGATCCCAGAGGCAGATTAAACGCGCTGGCAAAGATAAATCCCCTGTCATTTTGGGAACTCCCCTCCCCCTCCCCCTAATCATACTTTTTGATTGATCTGTGGCGTCGATTTCTCTAGGCAGTGTGATAAGCGTTATAGCAATTCAGTCCGCAGTATTGGTCAGCGAATCGAAGGCCACTGAATCTCGAACGCGTTTCAGAATTACGCATATTGAAGCCCGCAAAAGGTGAGAGGTCATGTGACCCAGTTACTCTGTTCCGCGTAGTGTCTGCTCTGTGTTTTGGTTTGACTTTTACCGAGATTGTCTATCGGATGGGCCAGTGCCACAGCTGAGCTTAAATTTGAATTCCTCGCCTCACGATTTCTAACATCTGCTTAACAACATCTGGTCTGTCGAGATGCGTTCACATCAGAATCACCCCACACTTCGTGTCGTGTGTCTAACGCACGCAGTTGCCCCGTGACTGCACGAAAGCACGTACCGCGCCCCTTCCTCTGCTCATGAAACCCTTATCGATTCTTGTAATTATCTCCACGGCACCGCACAATTCTGTCTGTCAATTCGTCGCAATTAGTCAGCTGTAACTCCTGAGGGATGGCGGATTGATCCTTTTTTTTTAAACTTTCAACCTGGAAATGAGGTCGTAGCACTGACACCGTTAACACAACTGGCCTGGTACCTTGTTCTGGCTGTGTGAGAAGCCGACGAATGTCAGACTGTTGGCCGTCTTTGCAGTGACGAACAGAGTTGGCCAAGAATGCCAACCCTGTGCATGTGTGGAAGACATCAACGTATCAAAGGTCGATGTGTAATGTCTTATTTGATTGGAATGAATGAGTAAAATCCTGGGTTTACATTCCACACAGACACATTTTCTCGCGGATGTATTGACGAATACACCATCTGGCAAGTTCACGGGTCACATATTCAAAAAAACAAAACATAAGGCCATATCAAAGTTCTTGTGTTAATGTCGTCTCGCGACGTGGAACTTTCGAGGCGATCTGACGAAACTTCACCTCCCAGTCCTCCCGCCTAAACCTGAGTTATGCCACGTTTCCTCCATTTCGCCCGATGCTAGACTTGAGTTACCAGAGTCATGTTATTAGCAGTGGTGCAACCGTTGTTATCGACGTTTTCGTTGTGTTGCGGGACCAGCAGCCACCTGTCAAACATCGACGGACGAAAGAGGAGACTGAAAGTCGAGCGAAATTGCCTGCTCATTGTACAGTACAGAATAAAATTAATTGCCGAATTAATGAGTGCTAGTATGTCCATAACTTCGCCTAACTTCTGGTAACAATTCTTGAAGAAATTCTCACCAAACCAGACTGATAATAACCCTAAGATACCTTGAGGGAATTCCGTCAGTAGGAACAGTAACAGGACCGCGAGAAGCATCCGAGTCGTACGGTCCGTCTGCCGCTGTTTGTCCAAGACCCTGGCGCTGCCGCTCGTCAGCTGTTGGCGACGCCGTTTTGTCTGCAGGAGGGCGCATATCAGCCTTCGGCTCAGTTCTGTGAGCGCCGCGCATGGCATCAGCTTAATCACGACGCTGTACACCCAAAAGTTGATGTGACTCAAGAGATTGCCATTCGCTTTGCCCAACTCGGAAATGTTCACGATGTACAATGTCATGTTCTTCGCATCGCCCATGTCCTTGGACGTCCTTACTATCTGGCCGTACTTGTCCACTGCGGCGTTCTTGGGGTGTATGCTGAACGCCAGGAAGAGAGGTATGCACAGCAGAGGGCTCACGATGTACGCGCTGACGATTGCTGCAATGGTGGTCTTCATGCAACACCACTCTCTGTTGCGCTGAGGATGGGCCACCGCGATGTACCTCCACACGGCGAGAGTCACCGTCAGCCAGATGGATACCGTGTGGCAAACCTGCGAGAAAAACACGAGCATTTGGTACACTCTGGCGTCTGTCAAAACTTCTCACTGGAATGTGGCTGTCTTGTGGGATGTCGCGCCGCGTTGTCCGGCAGACGTTTATCGACGTTTCGGAGGCACTTGCTGCCTCCATCATCGGTCTGTTGAAGGAGGCAGCAGCTACCGCAAGACACGGCGAAACAACCCAGAAGACAGCCATGTTTATACTCGCCGCCCGGAAAACTCAAATATATCAAAATAGCTTTTTTATTCGAGAACGTAATAAAGTTCATGACAAGTTTGAGGCTTATAATTCGAAATACTTCACTCAGTTTTATACATCGATTTGCGTGACCATCTCCCGCAACTGACCAATCACGAAGTAAGGAAACGAGCGATTAATGAACTACTCTCCCCAGAGTGATGTTGATCAACTTGGTCACAAGAAAAGCCTAACGCCTTGTCGTAATCCGAAGTTCTTCCATCCAGTTCGTGTCCCCCGTGAAAGGATTTCGAGCAGAGACACATTTTTTGAAGTCCTACTTTGTTTCGGTCCCTTGTACCTTCATTCCGTACATCCGTGGTATATCTCACTCTGATTTAACTGCCTATGAACGCTACGGCAGCGAAGCTTTCCTCTGTGAATAATTCTAAAACACCCCGGTTTAATTTATTTCAGTGTTTGCAAGCGAAATTGTTAAGTTCATTCATTGTCCGTGCTATTTACACTACGTCAGTAGACTATAATACTATTATATAATCCCAGGATACCGACTGCAGTCTTGCTCATGTAATTTTCTGTCCTCCTGATTTATTTAATTTGAACTTCAGCCCCGTATTAAAAGTTTTAAAATCACAAGGATTTGCAGGATGTCTGAAGCTTCAGTGGAAAAAAAAAAAAAAAAGACTGACGAATTGCGAAAAGAAATTGTGACGAATTCATCGCTGCTTTTGGTCCGAAGTACCGGGACCACAATGCATCTCACGTATCCTGGGAAATGAATCTCTGTAGTGACATCCCCCGAAAATGACCACGATGTTGCATTGAAAACTCAGTACCAACTATCCCAGAACAGTCGTAAGTGGCGAATAAGGCAGTTAGTGCGTAGACAAGAGAAAGGTAGGATTAGTGGAAGTAAGTGCGATTCTTTGGTTCCAGCTCCGTCATCCTCTCCTCTTCCTACGCGCGAGGCGCGACTTGGGTCTTGAGCCAGCAATACCGAAGTGCTCCTGGGATCCCCTGGGTCAGGCTGGAAGGTGAGTCGAGTTGGTCCAAATTCTACTTCAGTTGCTGATTCTAAATTTGTCTCGTGCACAGCTTCAGTGCTTTGCTGTTATTTTAAGTTTTTCTCCGACACTTTTAAGACTATTTATTATCCTGTTTTCGTGTTTTGTGTGTGTCACTGCTGGCTCCATCAGAGTTACTTCCAGTCGCAGCCGACGACCTAAGACAGCAAACTTACGGCGCATGTGCCATTGACCGCTGTTCGTTCGTTCGTTCGTTACAGACCCAAGGGGTTCGATCGCAGGCGCATTTGTATTCCGATTTCTTCGGGATTGCGTTTCCTTGCGGAAATCTTGAATATAACTCAGGTTTGTGTTATGAAGAGGGGGCTGCGGGGTGTCGCTCTCGCACCCCCGACCACTTTTAAGACAGCGACTGAGGCCACCGCCTGAATGAGTAATTCCTTCCACAGCAGCCCAACCTTCGATGAGACAGCAGCCCTCGATTTACCATATAAACACTGCCGAGCTGGATGCAGCCTGCACCCCATTGTGTACATTACATTGACAAACCAAAATCATGCCAATGGAATAATGATACCGGGCATATCAGCGAAGGAGTTTTTTGCAGTCTTGAAATTTACGTAAAAAATTACATACTTACTTTCTTATTTAAAACCAACGACACAGACAATATTTCAAGTGAAATTTTAAGTATTATATAATTTACATGCACACAACGTTTCATCTGGTTGCTAGAAAGTCTGGAAGCCAACAAGAGACATACATGGATGGAATTCACTGAAATATAGTTTAGAATATAAAATAAGCAAAGAGACAAACTATTAACACTATAAATGACACTAGTGCCAAACGCGTTTCGACCTCAAGAGTTCATCATCAGTGGCAAAAGGGAATTAATTCATATAATAAAAAATGGTTTAAAAAATAAATCATGAAGTTGAGTTCTTTACAAAAAAAAAAAACAAGCAACACTACACTAGATGTTGGTCCAAATGATCAATTACTGGGTGAGGCAGGACGTGCAAGTTGTTTATTTGAATTTTATACAAATAGTTTCATTCTGAGGCGCATTCATATGTGCAGTGTTTGTTGAATGCCTTTGTCTCGAATTAGATGTAACAAAAG